TGATTACTCGCAGGGTGAGGGGAACATCGGTTGGACGAGTATGACGATTACGAAGACAGTTCCTGAACATGATAATTTTCAAAGGTAACTCAAACTAATTTGGCAATGAAATTTTTTTAACGAAAGAAGTCAACTAAAGAATAGAAGAAGACAGCAAGAAGTACTGTTTTCTCTTTTCCATGTTGATCTCTAGTATGCATGGATACCTTGATATGGGGATACCCATGTGTTACGTTGTACTTATGACCACTTGCAAGTACGAAAAAGGCACAATTTCCGAACTTTGAGGCTCCAAAAGTACAACAAAGTGAATATTGTATCCCCGCGTGCCAAAGCATAATATGAGCGTACATTGTATATGTGTGTGTATGATGTGCCCTGTAGCTCACTTACATGTATACATGTACACGTAGTCGTAAATCATGTCCATGATGCCTTTCCTCTGCGCAGGTCCACCGCACTATTGTTTTTAAGATTAACATATTTATTACTTCTGCATATGCATTACATACTATGATCACGCTGGCTCCATCCCTTATTTCCTAAGCTACATGTACATATACATGTACCCTCCCCCCCCCCCCCCCCCCGCGGTAGGGAGGGCCCAAATATGCTCAAAATATTCGCATACAGGTCGTCCCCCGTTAATACGAGTCCGGTTAGTACATAAACCCCGTTAGTACATAAGAAATCTCAAGTCCCGGACGAAACGTGGTCACTTCCATACAAATTTTGTCGGTTAGTACATAATTCGTTAGTACATAAACCCCGTTAGTACATAACATTTCTCCGTACCCGCATGTCATCTACCTCAATAGTACATAATTTGTTGGTCTTTTGGCCTTCCAGTGGAGGCACATCGTGTTCTAGTTTTTACTTGTGGACGCAATTAATACATAACATTTGTCAAGTCCCAGAGATTATGTATTAACGAGGGACGACCTGTATTATGCTTTTCGCATATTGGGCACTTGCTTCAAAATATGCTTCGAAATCACACAAAAGCAGAAAAATATGCTCGAGATATGCTCGAAATATGCTCGAAATATGAACTCATATCAGTGATAATTATGCGAATTCTTTGCTCCTTGTAGCAAAATATGCTACATTTGGTACAATATGCTAGATTTGCTACTTTATGCGACCTTGAGTCGCGGACACTCTCTTCTCGGGTCAAATTTTCGCCCCGTGTTTGGATGAGCATTTTTCCTTCCGGGCTAAGTTTGGAAGTGTTCCCTGACCGAGCGTGCCGTGGTAAGTTTCCTTGGCCATTTCTGCAATCTGCCCTATAATTATGCGAATTCTTGGCTCCTTGTAACAAAATATGCTACATTTGGTACAATATGCTAGATTTGCTACTTTATGCGACCTTGTGTCAAAAGGACAAAATATGCGAAAATACAGTCAACTTCGCCAATAACGACATTCGGCGGGGCAACAGAAAAGTGTCCTTATTCACGAAGTGTCCTTATAACCGAAGTCCCATTTGAATGTATGTGAACCCATATTTTGTATAGTATGACATGCATATCAAAATCAAGCTCTTTTCTTGCTCTATGTCAATGTGTACTTTATTTTCATATTGCAGTTGAAAGGAACTAAAAATTCAATATGCAAGGGAAATCAATTGAAAAATATGCCTTTTTGAGCCATCTACAGGGCCAGAGACATGTACATGTATGATGATTTCTGTACAATCATGTACAACTACATGTACATTGTATACATATAGGTGTGCTGGTAAATCCAACAATTTTGAAGCCAACATAAAAAAGGAAGAAAAAGCCCCCCTTGGCTGCATTTTCTTGCATGTGTGCCTTTATAATAATAATATCCATCACCATAGGTTCTGGTACTTCTGCATGACAGGTACATGTACTTGACTGACAGGTACTTGAAATAGCTGTCAAAAGCCCAGAAAGTCGTTATTCAAGCAGTGAATATGACCTGGGGGCACTAAAAGCATGTCGCTATACGCGAATTGTCGTTATTCAGATAGTCGTTATATCCGAAGTTAAATGTATACAGTTAGATGGGACTTTGCTCTGGGCATGGAAATTCGGTCGTTATTCGCGAATTGTCGTTATATCCGAAGTCGTTATTAGCGAAGTTGACTGTATGCGCAAGCATATTCGGGCCCTCCCTACCCCGCGCCCCGAGGTGCGTCTGCCCAGTGTTGACTCCGAGACCCACGGACCACGGTCGGACGAGCTGTCCAGGCCTCACCACCACTGCCGTTTCTGTGCTGCCTTCTCGACACAGTCATATGTATGTACATGTACACTGTATATCATGTGCACATTCACATGTCTGAAGGTTTGTGGTTTTTCAATATAAAAAATAAAAAATGAGGATTTTGCGAGCATAATGCGAGAATCCATGAAAGCATAATTCCATGATCTCGCGAGCATAATCCGCCGGAGCCTAGTACATGTACATGATTGTATTATGCTTTCATGGCTGCTGGCATGATGCTCACAAAATCCTCATACATGTACATGTACATGTATTATGCTTTGGGATCCGGGGATACGTATTCACTTTGTTGTACAATCATGTACATGTACATTGTACATGTACATGTACATGTACATGAGTGTCCCCATACCAAGTTGTCCATGCATGCAACGTTATTTGAAAAGAAAAAAACATTACTTCTTCTATTCATTAGTTTACATGTACTTCTTTTGTAATCAATTTTTTCATTGCCAACAAGTCAACCTCACCCTGCGAATAATCAGCCCCTCTTTCCCTCAGCTCCACCTCCATCATGACTAGGATTAATTAACTGTGCCTCCTAAGTCAACTCTTACTTAGTCTTAGAGTAATACTAGATCAAGTGCATACACCGGTATCGATGTTTGCAATGATACATGTATTTGTCGATAAGATTATAGCCTGCATAGTCATGGCTGGTAAACTCAAAATGCCATGGCTTCGTATCATGCATAATGTCCATGTACATGTACATGTACTTGTACTTGTACATGTACATGTACGTGGAGTTTTGCGGACTACCCGTCGATGTCTCGTCCGCCCCGAAATGCCTGAAAAAAAAGGCTGATTCACTCGATCTTCTCAGTGCTACATGTATGGTATCAAGAGTACATACATGTACATGTAAAAGGGTTATGTACTCTTGATGGTACAGTATGATCGGTATCAGCTTGGGAAAGAACTTTGAAGAATACGAGTTCGACGTTAGTAAAACGGTGATTCCTGAAGAGTGTTGTACGAAAACGTGTTCGAATCCTCTCTTTTTTCCATCGCTTTTTCTCCTTACTCCGGATACATGTACAATGTACTTTTGAAGTATTTCTCCTGTCCTCCTTATTGCCATTGCGCATGGACTCTTGTCGAGCTAGTCTTGATGTTATCCGTAGTTTGTCCAACGCTGGCACTGACTGTATTAGGATTGTACTGTATAGGACTTAGTGGAGTGAGAAGGTGCAACAGACTGTCAGAGCACAATAGACAATACGCTGACATTCGCATGTACTGTACATGTACCTGGTAGTTACTCTTGCTGTTACTGTTACCACTGATAATACCAGGCCAGGGGCAGGGAGTCGTATAATATAAACCGATGACTCCCTGCTGTGCGCAGTGTCTTGTAAGTTGTAGTTGTACACTTGCCCTGTGCCCTGTGCTAGGACTGGAGAATGTAACATACCCGTCACACGATCGTCACACATACTATTCGTACAGACCCAGTGCACGGCGTGTGCTGCGCCGATATCAAAAATAATGTTCCACTTGCTCACACCGCAAGCCGCAAGAAGGCAGATACTCACCCCTGGTCACCGTTGCTTTCCTGCCTTTCGCATACCTCGCGGCACTGGAGCGCTAGCGGCCGTGACTCCGCTACTCTCTTCCCGCTCCAAACACGAACGGAAGGCCAATACAAGGTCACCATCCTTCCAAATGCTTGTACAGTATTGCCACTATTGGTATCGCTCTGCACTTACATTTTTACATGTACGTGACTTAGAATGGGACCTACCGCCCTGCCTGCCAACCGGCTTGCCCCTCCTCCTGATCAGGTGCGAACATCACACGATGAAAAGTCTGTCTTTTGGCAGCTGCTTGTCAAATTCGCAGGCAGCCCACCGTCATCACTCGGAGATCAGTTGTTTTGCAGGCAGCCCACCGTCATCACTCGGAGATCAGTTGTTTTGCAGGCTTGTTGCAAGTACTAATACAATCTGTGGTAGTTACAACCTCTACCTTTACTTGGGAAAAGTAGTTCTACACCGGCTACTGTTGTATTGTATACTGCCAGTACAGTAGTAGTACTGGGCCATGCCAGGGCTTACTACTACTGTATAAGTATGCCGTACATGGTGTGGACTCGATCGCAGGTTGAGATCATCTCCACTTTGGCACTTATTATGATACTCTACCCAGTACATGTACTCCAGTATCATCGACTACAATTGTCATGTACACCTTCATTTTGCTGTTGCTTTATGCCTTCCTTTTTGATGGTTTCTGTTGCTAATTATTTGGATTGAAATAAAAACGATTCGCGCACCCAGTTTGGCCTGCCAATGAGTACATAAGTTAACCCCGGGGTTATGTTTAAGTTTAGCCTCTTGCAGTCTCGGTACAACGACGTTACGTGTCAGCACAGAACTCGCCAACAGGTAATTAGTTCGTAAATGGCCAGGGGTATTTACAACTCATGGTTTTTCAACTTTTTTTACAACTGACACAAGCTATGGCAAACCAAGACGAGTGCAAAGACAGATCCAAGCCCGAGGCTTGGACACTGTGAGGGCCATGCATCTTGCCTCAGCAGATCTACGTCGATGTCGTGGCCAGAAGTAAAGGCCGCTAGCAGGCGATAGAATACAGCTGAAGCGCGCGCAACACATGCCAGACCTTTCTTGCCCTTGGCCTTGACAGTGCCAAGCCGCATGCCAGGCGCACAGCGCAGTGAACTCGACAACTGAAAAACCCGAACACTAGGAAAAGTGCTTTGTAGTACACGCTAGACGAGGACCCATTTGCCTTCTAGGTCTAGCCAAGGCCGGCGCGATGTATGCTGTACACACGTACATGTATACGCTCCAGTGGGATTTTTAGCGCACCCTGCTGATTTCGCTTCCTCTTGCTAACACAGTAACAGTATCACATCAGTCGCCCCCTGCACAGACTGTGTCACTTGCATCGGTGCAGGATGCAAAGTCTTTTTCTCAGAGCCTCAGCTGCAGACGTAAAATTTAGCGGGGAAGGCTTTTCTTCGCCTTCCAGGTGATTTACAGTCCTTCATTCATCGCTCATCTAGGACAAGTCATTCGGGGCAGAGGGTACCGAAGCACACGCTTGTGCTAGTGGAGGCGCTAGCTATGGAGGAGGTACGAATGTATGTGATTCTTTTCCAATAATTTTCTGGTGTGTGCTAGTGAAAGCTGGTCACCGTCTGTTTTCAAGTGTTTTTCTATTCGCGAGTGGCTACTAAATTTGCTTTTGCCATGGACCTAACTACTTGAGCGGCCAGGCTCATTGCCTCGCGCGTATAGTATCAGAGATTTGTGTGGTATGATTGTCACCACCATGCCTTGTGGTGGTCATGGTGTGTTTTGGGGTGCGTTTTTCTGTCGCATGTCTAACGGGCACTCACGATCGCGCACACACATACGCACAAACGCACGCGTGCACACCCATTCACACACAATAATTTTACTTGCAGGAAGTGGCCAAGCTGCTGGGCATTGTCACATCGCGCTGCCCGTGCCATTGCCTGGCGGAGTACGAGAGGCAGCGGCGCAATCGACCGCTAGAAGTGGACGGGCGAGTTCAGCAGCATGACAAATCACCGGACACGGAGGTAGGACCGTGTGAATCAACAACAATTAAGGTGGAACGCTCCCCACAGAAATTTCTATAGGATTCTTTTCTAGTTTTTTTTGCATTGGAAAGATAATTATTGGTGGTTTGGGATCAATAAAAATTGATGGGGGTTGTATTTGTCGATTTTTGTACTGATTGACGAAACTGTTGACGATCACCTCCACCATTACACTGCCCTCTTTAGCCGACTAGACCCTCCTGCACACAATCATCACCACTGCGAGGACACTTCCGTAGACGATATTGATAACTCCTTCAGACAGCTGTTTCGCGAATACATAGCTCATCAGTGAAGGTAGATTCACACATACAATGTTGAATGATAAAATATAAGACCACACTGCTATTGGGGTTTTTCCACATACAAAACTGGCATAGCTGAGGTAATAACGCGGGAAAAGGAAAGTATGAGGTAGTGTTGACGCGCATGGGACATGCATGCAGCGTCAGAAATTCGGCGTGGAAAATCAATCACTATGACTATCGATGCAGAAATAACGTGCCAGAATCAGTGTACTGTGTAGCTAGTGAGAGTCTGTGTATTGCACTTGTCCGAGCGCCATGAAGGCCTGCAAACTCACCTCACGATACTACGATGGTCAAATTAACGGTGCTATAATGGGGTAGATGGCGTGGCAAAAAAATCTTTGGAGGAGGCTTGCAATCTGGGTGGAGGAGGCAATCTGGATGCGGCTTGTACTCCAGTGCGGCGTATACCGTAAAGTACCGCCGGAGTGCTCCGTCTCGCGAGAGCGCCCCACCTTCGTTTTACAGCCATTGGAAGAGAATCGTAAGGCAGAGTGCAACTAAGTTTTGTACAGTGTGAGAACTTTAGTGTACTAATGTCAAACGTGACATGTTCTTATGTAGAGCTGGCATCCCCTCGAAGGTAAACTGGGTACGGATTGCCTGCACAACGTGCATTGTTTGTACAAGGTACGTGTCGTATGACCTACAGACAGGAAACCACCTCCACAAGACGACCACGAAAGGACGAGATGGTTGGGTGCTCTGGCGGTACTTCACGGTACTCCAGTGCGGCTTATACTAATACTCCGGAATTATGGTACTCCATACTCCATACTCCATACCCCATACCCCATACCCCATACCCCATACCCCATACCCCATACCCCATACCCCATACTCCATACTCCATACCCCATACTCCATACCCCATACCCCATACTCCATACTCCATACCCCATACCCCATACTCCATACCCCATACCCCATACTCCATACCCCATACCCCATACCCCATACTCCATACTCCATACCCCATACTCCATACCCCATACCCCATACTCCATACTCCATACCCCATACCCCATACTCCATACCCCATACCCCATACTCCATACCCCATACCCCATACCCCATACTCCATACCCCATACTCCATACTCCATACCCCATACTCCATACCCCATACCCCATACCCATACTCCATACCCCATACCAAGGCCGTCACAGCCGGGGCGGCTGGGGCGGCTGAGGCCGCCCCACTTTTTCGGCCGTTTTTTTTTTTTTTTTTTTTTTTTTGGAGCACATTACAACCAGGGAGTAGTACTACTCCCTGGTTACAACAAAGCACAATGCATGATCGCAGCTTAGCGCAAACGTGACAAATTTTTGTCCCCGATCGTGGTTTGTTGCAGAAAAAAGTCTTTCATTGTAGTTACACTGAAATGGCACCAAATGCCTGGAAATGCTTGCAATTGGCTTCAATTTTTGAATTTTTTCCCGGGGAGGGTAATGTTTGTCCCCGATCGTGGCGTCTTCTTCGTTTGTTGCAGAATCAAAAAGACTTTCATTGTAGTTACCGTACACTGAAATGGCACCAAATACCTGGAAATGCTTGCAATTGGCTTCAATTTTTGAAATTTTCTTGGGGGAGGACCACCGGACCCCCCTTCCATGGCCGCCCCACCTCCAAAGTCGGTGCGACGGGCCTGCATACCCCATACCCCATGCCCCATACTCCATACTCCATACCCCATACTCCATACCCCATATCCCATACTCCATACCGCCGTTTCCAACATACGCTGTTGCTTTGCCTTCTATTTTCCTTTGCTCTGCTCACACACACACACACACACGCATGTATGCACATACACACACACATACACATTCATACACACACACACACACACACACACACACACACTTGTAGCCAAGGCATGTGCAGACATTGTTTCTCGTGCCCTACGCGGAGGAGGCCGACGCTGACTGGCAGACAGCGAATGGTGATGGTGCGGCGTCGCACAGTAGTTGTCATGCCTATGATGTCAGTGCGTATCAGGTGGTCACAGCGGATGCAAGCTGCAACGGCACGCAGCCGTGCACTGCATCCTATGCGGAGATCGAAGCAGCTGGACTGTCTCAGTGAGTACTGTTGGTGTTGTTTTCTTGTAAACCACCCGATGTTCGCATCACTAATTTTTTTGCAACAGAACCAATGAGTTGACGACGGCAAATGTTGGATCATTGTGGTCACACACATACTCCCACTGTTGAAGTTTAATTTCACGATGGCTACTATTCGCGTTATGCTCTTCTCGCAAAATTAGCAAACAATAATACGCCGCAAACATTAGCCAGTTTACAGTACATCTTTTTGCAACGGAGAGAAATTGATGACACGCGGAATGCTATTTCACACGCCGTGTGCTCGAGGTCTTTCATGCTTGGAAGCCTAAAACGACTGGTCTTCAAAGACAGGGTGTATGTTGATTTGATGCGGCCGTAGTTTTAACTTTCAAGGCCAATTCCAACCATCTGTACCCGAGAGGTTGCTTTTCCCAAGTCTGTTTCAATAGCCACATTGCCACATTGTCTTTTCACCTGTGTGCTGGCAGTGCCGTCCACGAATCCCTAGAGGAACAACTTACGACGCTTGATTCTCTCCGCAAGAACGGCGATCCACTTTGCTTGCACCTCCGTCAAGATCTCGGTGGTAAGTAGTCCCCCTTGTCCTCGCTCCCTTGCACCTACCCCCCCCCCCCCCCTGAATAGAACTCTCCCTTGCATTCTGTGTTTGATCCTGGCGTCTCTGACCCTCACTTGAGCTGATTTCCAACGCGTTTATGCAACTTGCGTCCATGTACGGCGTTACAGGCTTGCCTTTGCACTCTCTGTGTGCTCCGTCTGACTCTCAGGGCGCGCTGTATGCCGCGTTGTGCCCGGAGTGGCGAGCGCGGCGCAAACCGGTCGGCCGGATTTGCTTGTAAGTGCCATCCACAACGTATGCATGAACTGCAGTGGTCTACACCATAGAATGCAACACCACACTGTAGCATATTGTCCTGTCTAGACGCTAGCTTGAGATGCACGCCAGGCGTTCCGGATTGCTGTTATGCAGAACTGGTTGTTTTTCGCTGCTGTCGGCAAACATTGACATCACACATTTCCCCACTGTAAGAGCCCATTTTCCCTGTTTGGTATTTCTAATGATTTTTGCCTGAAGATTGCATGAGCGAGAAACTCAAGCTACAGGAACACAGCCTTGTTCCACTTTGTTTGTAACACGTTTGACTACAAGCTTCAGCTGGTCCCCCTTTAAGGGGGGGGGGGGGGGTGCATGGACGCATATGTGTAGGAAAGCTGGTGCATGTCATCATGGTCATAATATGCATGCTAACCCTAGGTCGAACATTTGTTTTTGGGGAGGGGGTGCACCTGCCCCCCCCCCCCCCCCCCCCCGTGCCCCATGCGGGCTACACGCCTGAGCTTTAAGAATGCCAGTGAATGTTTCCGCTTTGGGCTTTCGCTCTGTGTTCGTACATAGATCTTGGAAGTGTTCAGTACATCCCCTGAGTCTGACATCCAGAGTTGTTCCCCGCTGCCAACCATTCCCGGCGCACTGTTGCAAGTTACCAGCACCGCCATAGGCAATCTGGAGCGGCAGCAGAGGCTGCACGATGAAGCGAACCGCTGGAAGATTCTGCTGTCCGTACAGGGTATGTAGCAAAACTGCTGTGATTTCTCGTCTGCTCACCACCGTGGTTACTTGAATCTCTGAAGCATGTGCAGGAAATAGCTTAGCATGTACAGTCAACTTTGCGTATAACGACACTCGGTGGGGCATCAGAAAAGTGTCCTTATTCGAGAAGTGTCGTTATATCCGAAGTCTCATTATATGTATTACAGTTAGATGGGACTTTGCTCTGGGCATGGAAATTCTGTCGTTATTCGCGAATTGTCGTTACATCCGCAGTCGTTATTAGCGAATTCGACTGTAGTTAACACAAAGCATCACATTGACTGCTCTGGACTGACAATACGACCAGTACATGGTCGTCCTGTTGTAGGAACGTTGGTGAAGCTTTCCATATAAGCCAAGGCGATTGTGCAAAGAGAAACCACAAAGGGTTTTAAGAGTAGGGGTGGTTAGGGAATGTGTCTTCCCAGCGCTACCTTCATTATTCTCTATGTCGTCAGACTTCTCCTCTCCGGATAACAAACTATTGTTATGATGTTGTGTAGTTTGTAACCTTTTCTCTGTGGCGATGGTATACCCATCGCGATATTCATACGTTATTTGTGGATGCATTCGAATCTTGTGTCCAGACACGGAGGAAGATGCGAGCGGCAAGCTGTCCAAGCTTTGTCAGTCGTGCCTAAGGCTGGCCCAGGCTAACGGTGTTGTGCTGACGTGGTGCTGTGCGGGGGCTAGCGACAATGCCAAGGTCTTGTATCAGGTAAGATTGCACGGCCGTGCAACCTGTGTAAGACGACCCGGCTCGGGGGGACTTTCGAAAAGCGATCTCTGTTACCATGTGGTCTTCTTATCAAGTGTCATTGTTCATCATTGCCTAGAAGCTGTGGCATCATTCACGGTCCACAGCAAGAAGGCAGCAATGCCTGTACATATGGTGAAGTAAAATATATTATAGATAACATAACATTTGACTGGAAATAGCATGTCTTGGTGCTGGGTTCAGTGGTCTTCTAGGACAGGTGGTCGCTTTATCCCAGTGGTCACCTTGACAGGTTTATCCCAGTGGTCACATTGACAGGTTTATCCCAGTGGTCACATTGACAGGTTTATCCCAGTGGTCACCTTGACAGGTTTATCCCAGTGGTCGCCTTGACAGGTTTATCCCAGTGGTCACATTGACAGGTTTATCCCAGTGGTCACCTTGACAGGTTTATCCCAGTGGTCGCCTTGACAGGTTTATCCCAGTGGTCACATTGACAGGTTTATCCCAGTGGTCACATTGACAGGTTTATCCCAGTGGTCACATTGACAGGTTTATCCCAGTGGTCACATTGACAGGTTTTACTGTACTTGCTTCAAGGTGACCCTCCGTCGGAGGTGTGTTGTCTAGGATTTTCCTCGTAAAGAATATGTAATTGCACCGCTGGCCGTATTGTGAAGCGTGAGCTCAGTTATCACCTCACTCTACACCGGTACATGTGTGTGTGTGTGCGTGTGTGTGTGTATGTGTGTGTGTGTGTCACTGTGTGTGTGTGTCACTGTGTGTATGTGTGTGTGTGTGTGTGTGTGTGTGTATGTGTGTGTGTGTGTCACTGTGTGTGTGTGTCACTGTGTGTATGTGTGTGTGTGTGTGTGTGTGTGTGTGTGTGTGTGTGTGTGTGTGTGTGTGTGTGTGTGTGTGTGTGTATGTCCACTTGTATAATACTTCTGCACAGGCTACATTGGACACAGGGAGCAGTAGGCATCTGGCGGAAACTGATGCGACGTGTGATGATGAGTGTAAGTTTGACACGAATACATTATAGGATTTTTTCTAGACCTGGAGCCCTGGACCCCAAGGCTGGACAAATACCTGCGGTTCTAACTTAAAATGCTTGGTTAGAAAAGCCATCGTCTTCTGAGCTGGGAAGTTGAGGTCTGGACAGCATTAGGGAATTTCGCTCAACAAGACTTCATGCTTGAATTGCAAAATAATCAGCTAATGAAGAGACCTGTTTTTCCGTGCATTTCCGTGTTTCTCCATTTCTCTTTTTCTCGTCCCATATTTCTGTGTAGTTGTAAATGTGGCGTACACATATTCACTGTTGAATAAGTGTGCTTTTGTGTCTACCTTTCACCCATCATGTTCTCCTTTCTGTTTGTGTTTGTTGTTGTTGTTGTTGTTGTTGTTGTTGTTGTTGTTGTTGTTGTTGTTGTTGTTGTTGTTGTTGTTGTTGTTGTTGTTGTTGTTGTTGTTGTTGTCGTCGTCGTCGTCGTTGCTGTCCGTTACGTCCTTGTATCGATGCATCCGTTTGTTTGTGTGCATACAGCAGCAGCAGGAGTGTGCAAGGTGACTGTTCTCGGACCTGCAGTAGCACAGGGGCAGTTTCAACTTCGTCTTGTCAAGAACCCGGGGTGAGTGGAGCAGTATCAGTGTGTCCAGACAGGCAGACAGACGGATATGTGTGTGTGCGCTCGTGCTTGCTCACGCGCGTGCGTGTGTATGTGTGTGTGTTTCTGTGTGTGCACGTACTCGCCGATCATACGTTTGTTAAACATGAAGCAATTCCACCTCCACCGAACCCGCTCTCTGGCCGAACGATGTCGCTGGCCCTGTGAGAAGTTTGTTGAACATGGCGGAGTAAAAATTCCGCCTTGGATGTCATTACTGTAGTGTAGTCATTCATACGTGTACTTGTGTGTCCATCATGTTCTGTGCTGTACACATTTGCCAAGCCTTCATCATCATCACCTCACACCATGTACATCGTACTGTCTCATTTAGATTCCTGCATTGACCGCAAGCCTGGTTTCCAACATGTACCATGCGCAAGTACAGTAAAAAATAATGAATGTGAGACGGTCCGTGCCTGGCGAAGTGGTCTGTAGTACCAGGCTGGTCGCTAGTCACGGTGGTCTTTAGTTACAGGTTTTACTGTAGTACCAGGCTGGTCGCTAGTCATGGTGGTCTTTAGTTACAGGTTTTACTGTAGTACCAGGCTGGTCGCTAGTCATGGTGGTCTTTAGTTACAGGTTTTACTGTAGTACCAGGCTGGTCGCTAGTTACGGTGGTCTTTAGTTACAGGTTTTACTGTAGTACCAGGCTGGTCTCTAGTCATGGTGGTCTTTAGTTACAGGTTTTACTGTAGTACCAGGCTGGTCGCTAGTCACGGTGGTCTTTAGTTACAGGTTTTACTGTACATCCACACCTAGTTTATGTGTTGCCATGCATGTATGCATACCCTGGTGCCTGCTTCAATAGAAGCCTAGCCCTAGCGTCTGGTTCTGCAAGGCTAAGCCGAGGATTTCTACGAGCTTCGCAGGATTAGCACATTCCTCCATCTGAAAATTTTGCGAATCGATTGCAAGATTCCTTTGAGCTACTGCTAGACGGTGGTTTCTTGTTTTCGCATTGTGTTTCTTTGTTCTAGTGAGGCCTTTTCAACACGCACACTGTCAAGTGTTGGCTGGATTCTCAAGAAGAGTCAGAAGATTCTGGAAGCAGGCCTGATTGCACGCACCGCAGCAGCTACGACTAGTACCAGCCTGGTGCCAAGGCAAAGTTCTTTCGAGGTTAGGCGTGCTCTCCGGTGGTGAAGTGGTGTCTGTGATAGAGACCAGGCTTTGGTAGATGCAGTTGTTGTTGATCTGGCCATACCATAGCCTCGTTGTGCTCTCTGTGTATTAGTACTCATATGGCTCGCTAGGTTGCTGTATTTGTGGGGAGTCTGAATATACGGGTGGTTGCTGGTGTTTGTATAACTGTGTGCGGCATGTACTCCTCTGTGGACACGTGTGTGTGTGTGTGTGTGTGTGTGTGTACGTGTGTATGTGTCTGTGTGCGTGTCTGTGTGCGTGTCTGTGTGTCTGTCTGTCTCTGCATGCGTGTGTGTGTGTGTGTGTGTGTGTGTGTGTGTGTGTGTGTGTGTGTGTGTGTGTGCGTGCGCATGTATTCGTGTGTGTGTGTGTGTACATGCATGTCTGGCTGTACACACACACACACACACACACACACACACACACACACACACACACACACACACACACATGCATGGATGTGTGTATGTGTTGCTGTGTATGTAGGTGCTTCTGGAGATGCAGGATATTGTCCAAGAAGTACGCAATGAAGGTTAGTGAGTAGACAGTGCTGTTTCAAGCACAGCTATGACCAATGACCAATGACCAATGCTTTTTTTTACCTGACAAGTCCATAGGTAGGTCTGCAGTAACGTAAGTAGCAACATAAGATGCAGCAAATGAAGGAACTGGTACTTTTATGTCTATTATCAGCCTCTTCGCGTTGGCATCACCAAGCAAGCGTGACTAGTTTTCGCTTAGGCCAAATGGAGGGAAGAGTAATCTACGAGCAGGGTCAATGAGGTGCTTATACGCATGCAACTGCAGAATGTCAAATGCTTTTTTAAGTTGTTTTAATCTGACAAGTACATAGGTCGGTCTGCAGCAGCAGCAGCAGCATAAGACCCAGGAAATGAAGGGACTTTGTATTGGACTAGAAAAGATCAGTATGCTGGCTAGTGCTTTGTACCCCCCACCTCCCCCAGCAGCCCTGATGTAGCCTGTTCAACTAGGAAGTGGTTGTGGCAAAGAAGACTTTGAGCTTTAGTTCACACATTTTCTGGCCTGTGGACGTTGACAGCCAAAGACAGGTGCCGCATAGTTTCCCGTCGCTGTGACTCAGTGATCTCGTTTTCATGCATTGGACACTAATGTGTTTTGCCGTTTTGCACTCGTACTCGTCCTATAGGCGAGGAACTGTCCAGTACGCTGCACAAGCTGGTCTCCAGGGCTGTACATCGTACACGATCGGAGAGGTGAGCGGCATTCACTGGTCTACTGTCATCTCGCGGGTATGATCGTGTCTTCTGCATCACCACTGTTGCCTGGGCAACCTGGGCAACCTTCGGGGAAGACATGTGTCACTCTCCCACCAATGCTGCCTGGGCAACCTTCGGGGAAGACATGTGTCACTCTCCTTCGGGGGAAGACATGTGTCACTCTCCCACCAATGCTGCCTGGGCAACCTGGGCAACCTTTGGGGAAGACATGTGTCACTCTCCCACCACTGCTGCCTGGGCAACCTTCGGGGAAGACATGTGTCACTCTCCCACCACTGCTGCCTGGGCAACCTTCGGGGAAGACATGTGTCACTCTCCCACCACTGCTGCCTGGGCAACCTTCGGGGAAGACATGTGTCACTCTCCTGCTCAATAGATTCCTACATGATCTAGATTCGGTTACCGTCAGGGAACGAAATAGACCTGCAAAACTGCAAAGCAATTGTTTTCTTCCATTCAATTTACACTGCTTCTCATGCACAGTATACTGCACAACATACGCACACCATCAATCCAAATGCCCAAATATGGAACGTATTATTTGTGGAATTTGACGTGGTTGCTATTCTCTGACCGGCTCGAGACATAGCTGATCGGAATCAGTGCCCAATTCTCCTTCGGATAAACCATAGAAAATGTTGGCGTTCTATTCCCTTTAAGACAGGACAGGTGATCTCCTATTTCAGAGGTCGTCTTGCACAGAGCACGGATGTTTGCAACCGTATACTACCGTATATTCTCTATTATAAGCGCCGTGCTTATATTTCAACACCCCTCTACCCCGTGCTTATATTGGAGACCGTGCTTATATTTTTCAACCAATACATCCATACAGAGCGAGAAGAAATACATGCTAGATATCATGCATGCAGCATTGATTTCCACCAAGACCGTGCTAATAATAGAGACCGTGCTTATAATGTTTCGAAAGGTGCTCACAGTGTGCTAGTATTAGAGACTGTGCTAGTAATGGAGACCTGTGCTTATAATAGAAAATATACGGTATATTTTAGCTAGGTGTGACTCTGTTGGTGTTGTTGTTACAGCGCACACCTGTTCGTCGTGAAGGACAACGCTGCCTCTACGGCTAAGCTGCTGGAGGCCAGTGTCAGCATCAGCAGCGTGGAAGTGGACACCGCAGACAAGGTCAGTGTAAACAAGGTCAGTGTAGACAAGGTCAGTGTAGACAAGGTCAGTGTAGACAAGGTCAGTGTAGACAAGGTCAGTGTAGACAAGGTCAGTGTAGACAAGGTCAGTGTAGACAAGGTCAGTGTAGACAAGGTCAGTGTAGACAAGGTCAGTGTAGACAAGGTCAGTGTAGACAAGGTCAGTGTAAACAAGGTCAGTGTAGACAAGGTCAGTGTAGACAAGGTCAGTGTAGACAAGGTCAGTGTAGACAAGGTCAGTGTAGACAAGGTCAGTGTAGACAAGGTCAGTGTAGACAAGGTCAGTGTAGACAAGGTTGCAGTGTAGACAAGGTTGCAGTGTAGACAAGGTTGCAGTGTAGACAAGGTTGCAGTGTAGACAAGGTTGCAGTGTAGACAAGGTTGCAGTGTAGACAAGGTTGCAGTGTAGACAAGGTTGCAGTGTAGACAAGGTTGCAGTGTAGACAAGGTTGCAGTGTAGACAAGGTTGCAGTGTAGACAAGGTTGCAGTGTAGACAAGGTTGCAGTGTAGACAAGGTTGCAGTGTAGACAAGGTTGCAGTGTAGACTAGGTTGCAGTGTAGACAAGGTTGCAGTGTAGACAAGGTTGCAGTGTAGACAAGGTTGCAGTGTAGACAAGGTCAGTGTAGACAAGGTCAGTGTAGACAAGGTTGCAGTGTAGACAAGGTTGCAGTGTAGACAAGGTTGCAGTGTAGACAAGGTCAGTGTAGACAAGGTCAGTGTAGAGAAGGTCAGTGTAGAGAAGGTCAGTGTAGACAAGGTCAGTGTAGACAAGGTCAGTGTAGACAAGGTCAGTGTAGACAAGGTCAGTGTAGACAAGGTCAGTGTAGACAAGGTCAGTGTAGACAAGGTCAGTGTAGACAAGGTTGCAGTGGTGGAGGAGGTTGCAGTGGTGGAGGATGTTGCAGTGGTGGAGGATGTTGCAGTGGTGAAGGGTACTCAGGGAGCACGATACGGTTTATAGATTGCTCTGACTCGATGTCCTGACTCTCTCGGAAATGGTCGGGCATGGCCGGACGCTGTGATTTTGGCAGATTTCTTCTCCTTCTCCTTCATCATCGCATTCTTTACATGACAATGCCCACACAGTCGCTACATCGCAGTGAACAGTGAGTCATGCAGTAGTATGATTGTAGTATGATTGCAACACTACTACACTGTGGCTATGGTGCCCCCCTCCCCCCCCCCCCCCCCCCCCCCGAGGCACAGCTATCGATTACCATGGCGGTAGTCGCAGTACAGTGTTGGGCGCCAAAGAACGACCAGGCTAGAATTTCAGACATAGTGATTATTTGACTGCATAATATCAACCTCACGAATAGCTGCAACTCGTGATAAACGACGCTTTTGTCGTGCAGGATCGAGGGTCGTTATTAAATTTTACGAGTTGGACTGTATGCTACTGAGCATAGTGAAAGCAACGGTAGGTGCGGATAGTTACCCTTGTTCAATGTAGGAGAAACACAATTGGTGCAGCGCATGTGAAAAGGGTGCTCAGTTGCACTTGACTGAAACGGAGAAAAATATCATTTGAAGTTTGAAATTGCCAACATTTGTGGCTTAAGACTGCGCACACAAAACCACCACCACAGCATTATTTGTTGACGGATTATCATCTGGCTTTTTATATGAAAGCTGAAGGGGCTAACTACTACAGGACATGATAACTCAAAATTTGACCCTAAAGCTGCCTTTTACATGTTCTGCATCAGTTGTCTTTTAAGCTCTCTCCTCCCTTGTCCTCCCTCCTATTCTTTCTTGCCTTTTGTGTCTCGATTGTTCTTTTCACCTTTACTCAGAAGCCACTGCAGTTACCAGTTGGCCAAGGCATAGCTGCTGCATCTCTTAGGCTCGGTAAGTGATGTGTTGTTCACTATTTGTCGACCCCTCCTTATTATAACTTACCTACATGTAACGATCCTTCTATTTTCTTTGTCCATCAAGCCTTCCCTCTGTCCATCTGCCCATAAACTGTAATGTTCTCCTTTCCGTGTATTCTCTCTCTCTCCTCCCCCCCCCCCCCACCACGCCGCACACACACACACACACACACACACACACACACACACACACACACACACACACACTCTCTCTCTCTCTCTCTCTCTCTCTCTCTCTCTCTCTCTCAAATTGTCAAGTGCCTGTTTGTTGCACTGAGTATTTGCCATAATTATCGTTGTGTGTGACTGGGCAATAGATACAACACTGAACATTACTCAAGCGTCCCGTAGCCCTCATTTCAGCCCCGACGTAGACAACAGCTACTGTGTCAGTGATGCCGAGCAGCGGAGAGTGCTGTGCATGCCGGTGCGACGTCACAATGGTGAGCTAGTCACAGGGTTGTTCTTACTCTTGTTCCTAGGACGCACAGTGTGTTGTTTTTACTCTTGTTCCTAGGATGCACAGTGTTTTAATTTTAATTTTATTGAAAACCACAAACCTTCAGGCATGTGAATATGCACTTATGCAGTGTACGTGTGTATGTATAGAGAAAGCAGCACAGAAACGGCAGTGGTGGTGGTGGTGGTGAGGCATCAGCAGCTCGTCCGACCGTGGGTCCCGTAGTCAACACTGGGCACATGCACCGGGAGTGTTTGTGCGTGATGCTGTTACTCTTGTTCCTGGCTCATGGTTTTGCTCTCCGTCTTGCTTCTAGCGCCGGTGCTTTTGCGCATTGCTGAGTACCGACATGACTACAATGTACTGTTCTTGTGCAGTAAAGACGCTGTGTGTGTGTGTGTGTGTGTGTGTGTGTGTGTGTGTGTGTGTGTGTGTGTGTGTGTGTGTGTGTGTGTGTGTGTGTGTGTGTGTGTGTGTGCACCACGTGGGGTATCATCGGGCCAGCATCGATCCCTTGTTTTCCATGGTGTGACGTACTAAGTTTCTAGCACTGATGACACCTACGGATGATACACATGTGCAGCTAGTCAGTGGTACACTCTTGGTGCTTCCTGACGCATCACGTAGCTTCATTAGTAAAAGTGGGTTCTGTTTGTTTTAATCCAGTGCCTTTGTGTGTGTGTGTGTGTATTTGTCTCAGATGTACTCGGTGTTCTACAGCTTTGCCGCAGCAGCAGCAGCAATGGTGAGATAGTGCCCATACAGATGTTTAAAGTACTACCAGAGTTTAGACAATCCGCTGTTCTGTTGGAAAATCCAATTTGACCTAATGCCCTCGTTTAAATTTGATAATTTTGCATTTTGTACCTACAGGTCCAAAAATTCCGCCGCATAGCCTAGCCAATTTTCGTAAAACCTGGCTAGTAATTTGTTTTGGAGGGGTGACGTACTGTATGATGTTGCGCTGGAGTGAGTCAAACAAGTTCAGAGGTGGAGGCTGACGTTTGTTTCTCCACCTTGCTAACATCTTGCCAACACCATGTTCTCGTGTTCTCGTATCCCTGTACAGCTCCCTATTCCACAGTGGATGAGGATGTTGCGCGCATCTGCTCATTACACTGTTCTTCGGCTATCAGTCAGGTACTGCATGGCATGGAGTGATATGGGTGCTGTTGGCGCTGGTGCTGGTAGGGCTGGTGGTACTGGCGCTGGAGCTGCTGCTGCTGCTGTGGTGGTGATGCTGCTGCTGTGGTGGTGATGCTGCTGCTGCTGTGGTGGTGATGCTGCTGCTGTGGTGGTGGTCCTGATTCTGGTGGTGCTGCTGCTATGGTGGTGGTCCTGATGCTGTTGTGGTGGTGGTCCTGATGCTGTTGTGGTGGTGGTCCTGATGCTGTGGTGGTGGTGGTCCTGATGCTGTGGTGGTGGTGGTCCTGATGCTGTGGTGGTGGTGGTCCTGATGCTGTGGTGGTGGTGGTCCTGATGCTGTTGTGGTGGTGGTCCTGATGCTGTTGTGGTGGTGGTCCTGATGCTGTTGTGGTGGTGGTCCTGATGCTGTTGTGGTGGTGGTCCTGATGCTGTGGTGGTGGTCCTGATGCTGTGGTGGTGGTCCTGATGCTGTGGTGGTGGTCCTGATGCTGGTGGTGGTGGTCCTGATGCTGTGGTGGTGGTGCTGCTGCTGATGTGGTGGTGGTGGTCCTGATGCTGTGATGGTGGTCCTGATGCTGCTACTCCTGTGGGGGTGATGCTTTTGCTGCTACTGCTACTGCTGTGGTGGTGGCGGCGGCGGCGGTGGTAGTTGTGGTGCTACAGGTTTATCGGTTGCGGCGCTGATGGTGCTACTGCTGCTTCGGCGGTGGCGGTGATGCTGCTATTGTGGTATTGTATATAGCGGCACTGATGCTGATGCTGGTTGCTACCGGTGCCTGCTTCTACATCTCAAACTACCGTTTCTATTCTTTCTTTTGCAGCAATCACTGTACAAGGATTTGATGGTGGCAGAGAACAGGAGCAACCTGCTCACCGAGCTCATGCTGTTCCACATGCAGGCAAGTTTCATGTGTGTCCTTTTACGCGCCTTGTCCAGACCCCTTGATTATTTGAACTCACCTTTAAGAGTAAGATGATCTTCCCAGTCATCAAGGATACACACACACATGATTATCAAAACAAATTGAGGGCGTCCAGGAACGTTTTCTTGTGTTGTTTTGTTGTCATTATCTGTGTAAAGGATTCCTCTTGCTGTCTCTCAGGGCGGAGGGTGGAGGTAATGGAAGTTAGGCTTTAGCCATTTTAAATAACCCATACCCATTGTTTTCTCTTCTCTTGCCTGTCCTGCGCACACTGCAGGTCCCTGATTCAGAGTTACTGCCCTATATACAACAGCCTGCCTGGAGTCTTAGCGACCTAGATGCTAAGCTACACATCAGTAGTTTCACCTTCACCGGCATGGACATGGAGGAGTCCGAGACTGTCCAGGTATGATGGAAACTGCGTGCGTGTATAGCTGAGACTGTCCATGTATGATGGAAACTGCGTGCATGTATATCCCAGACTGTTCAGGTATGATGGGAACATGTATATCCCAGACTGTCGAGGTAATGACTATACTGCACGCACGTACTAGCAAACCAGCTCTTTACGTGCTCCCAACATAATCTCGGTGCATAGTAAGAGCGTTCACCTTGGGAAAATAATAGCTACAGGTTCGTGTGTGCTTGGGAGTAGGGGTTGGGTCGCTAGGCATATGCGTGATTGTATTGTTGTTGTGTGTGCGGTCATACATTATCGTGTGTTGCTGTGTATCACGTTTCAGGCTATGCTCGGCATGTTTGAGGAAATGCAACTCTGTCAACGCTGGAAAATACCCAAGGAGAAGCTTTGCCGGTAAGTTTTACATGTGAATTCAGGCACTGTACTGTCACGTAATAATAATAACGGACTCGGATGGAGAGCCAAGGTGTAATTTATACAAAAGAGAAAGGACCAAGGATAGGACCAAGGATAGCATGAGCTGATTGTTTAGTAACTGGTTGTGTTAGTATAGCGTAACTTGTAGTTCCTTGGTCCTTTCTCTTTTGTATAAATAATAATAATAATAATAATAGCAATAATGTGGAAGAGAAAAAGACATATGGATACGAGTTAAGAGTAACTCTCCATCACTGTAACATGATACTATATACAGTCAGAAAGTGCAATAACTAGGCACAAAACTGACAGAGTACTGAAACATTCGACGTCCTGACACCTAGCTTTAACACATCTCCGTAGCGCTAACCGACAGCCTTCCAACTTGGAAGGTTCAAGGTTATGGAAAAGACCAAAGAGGGGAAGGCAAGCGCAACGAAAACGAGCAAAAGCCACAGTCCCAACGGAACAAAGAATGTCGATTGTTACTGGACGATGACGAGACCAGTACGATATTTGACAAAGCGGTCTAACTACAATAGTTAGACCGCTTTGTCAAATATCGTACTGGTCTCGTCATCGTCCAGTAACAATCGACATTCTTTGTTCCGTTGGGACTGTGGCTTTTGCTCGTTTTCGTTGCGCTTGCCTTCCCCTCTTTGGTCTTTTCCATAACCTTGAACCTTCCAAGTTGGAAGGCTGTCGGTTAGCGCTACGGAGATGTGTTAAAGCTAGGTGTCAGGACGTCGAATGTTTCAGTACTCTGTCAGTTTTGTGCCTAGTTATTGCACTTTCTGACTGTATATAGTATCATGTTACAGTGATGGAGAGTTACTCTTAACTCGTATCCATATGTCTTTTTCTCTTCCACATTTATTTATGGCTCAACATCCGAGTTTCAAATTGCACACCTGATGAGCCGTCACGAACCATACGGCGAATAACAATAATAATAATAATTTGGTCTCTTTCCCTCAAACCAGTCAATAATAATAATAATTATTATTAATATTCACTGGTTTGAGGGAAAGACACAAACGGGAAAAGTCTGAAGAAAAAATTGACTGTCACCACCAGGACTCGAACCAGGGACCCTCGCTTGTAGCCAGCAGCGATGCTTTAGCTACTGAACTATGGTGTAGTCGTCATCCCAGCAGAGACCGTTCACCATTTTCTTCAGACTTAATAATAATAACTTATTATTAGGATGACCCAAAGGCTGACCGTATAAGGGCCGTGCGCATTCCTGTTGAAGCCGATGTCAGTGCTAGGTTTCTATACAAACAAGTTGTTTATATGCATGTCTACATTGAACCAGGCTGGCGTACCAATGGTTCATCTTGAAAAATCAGGCTTGTGCTCGAAACAGGCTTCTATAGGAGACAGGTTTCAATACAAGACACACGGCCTCAAAATTTCACGGTTTGCTTGAAACTCATTAGACTAAGCTTT